GATCTAAGTCTCTACAACCAAGTATCTTAAAACAGCTCTAAGAGATTGAAAGGTTGCTATAAATGAACCGTTTCTTAACGTATAGCTTAATTTTAGGTCTTATCGACTGTTTTTTATAGTTATTTATATAGTCATAACTAGCGTGTTTATCTGTTTTTGAGCAGGTCTGGTATGCCTCATACACAGCAGACGGAAGAATCGCGAGTCTGGGTGAGAAAAAACGGTAAAGAATGGCTGAATTTGCATGTACATCGCTCTACTCTATCTGGCAGCGGTGTAGTCTCTGGCTGCAACGGTGGCTTATCAACTCAACCTGCTAGTTTTGCTTATCCCTTGTAGCGCTGATTCCTTTAGCATTTTTTTCTTTTCACAGCTTGCTTCTAATTATCTCATACATTTCTCGCTGGTCCCAACGTTGAATTCAGGAATGCATATAGAATAAATCGTTCAATGAAGAGTATTGAAAGCATGATTTTTATCCTTCATTCCAAGGACACGCTGAGGTACTCATGTTGCTGTTATTTACTTTCTTTTTTAATATCCTTTTAATCAACTAAAATACTTCGTAAAATATCATGCAATTTTTATACTTTCATCTGTTGAATTTTTCAAATTCTCAATGACTTGCATCGATTTTTTATTGCATCCGCAAGTAAATCTTAGTTGTCTCTTTTATTGAATTGTATCGAACATTCATCGTTATTTGTTTCTCCAAATTTTTATATCTTGGATCAGTTTTATCACTAATTAATACTGATCGTTTGTTTCTTCTCTGGCTTGGGGTTTTTTATGGGGTTCTGTGACTAAGTATTATAAAGTATTTATTTGAAGTGTAATATTCCTAATCAGACTCCATGACCTCACTATTTTTAAGCAAAATATATGTTGATCACGTGAATGTCTCTTACTTTAGCTACGAGGATATCTAGAAATAGCATTTGATGATGACGAAGTCCCTTCTAATAATGATCTCTGGTTTTCAATACCTGGTATCTATACATTTCTACATATGTCTATTCTATTTTAAATGTTTAGATGTGGTCCACCAAAGATTTTCCTTTTTAGCAATGCTCACAAATAACTGTCCTCTTATAGTCGTTTAATGAGTCAATTAGGATTCTTCTTGCATTCCCTTTGTGATTTTTATCTGCCAACAATGTAAAGCTGCTTTTTTTAAACACGCAATAGTTATACTAAAAATGATATCTCATACAAACACAATAACCTAAGGCCTTTTCTTTCAGGTCGAAGGTACTTGGAAATATTGGCTTTTCATTCACCAACTCTTTTCACAATTTATCCGGCCATAGAATACGTAATTATCCATCTATTATTAGCATTATTTGCCTTAGTTCTTTTCCACTCTCGCTCCAAACTTCGTTTCAATCAAATAACTTATTTGTTGAATTTCAATAAAAGCATTCCACAGCCTCAAGAACAAATTTATTCTTAGTTGGATTTATTAATCCACTCACTTGTGCTATTTGTAAAATTTGTCAAATTATCAACACTCATTAGACGGATTTTCTCATCTCCAATAATTACTTCACTTTATCTTTTTTTGCTTGTATTCACTTGAGCTTTGAATTTAGAGTATTTCTATTCTGGTATTTAATTATCTGGTTCTTAAAGATCGATTTGAACCATATTGGGTGTACCTCGATATACTGGAAAAAAACCATTAAGAGCTTTATTGTTTTGTGCATACGCTTTGACAAGATGTTAATGCCTGCGAAATTGTTCTTTACTTTGCCCTTGATGGAAATACATACTTTTACTGTATAAATTTCCTTACCCTTAATGCTTTCTGACGGCCAACCAAATCTCAAATTCGCTTTACATGACGTGTTTGGTCTTTTTCTTTGTTTTTTTTCTCTGTTTTACACTCACCTACACTATTTGTCCACTTATTTTGCTGGGTTTCCTTATATTGAAAATCTTATTCTTTCCGTATCTGTAGTGTATTTTCCTTGGAGAGGTATTTTTGTTCATTTATTTATTTGTCTGGTTCGTTAATACCTATTATTCACGTGTATTATACTTACCTATTTCTTTGTAAGGGCTACGAATGTTGCTGCTGACGCCTTCGCTTTTGCCCTGATGTATCATTGTATATTCTACTTATTATTCATCATTATTTTATTATATCGGAATGTCCGCGCGACCAATGTTCCAGCATAAAAAGGTTTAAATTCTTCTTAAAAACGTGCTGTGAGAGCGGAAGAACTCATGGAGACTCAATTATGCAAATATTTATGACTTAAAATTGGCTATCCCTGAACTCTATAGATTTCACTCATTATTCAGTGATAATATTAATTTTAAATTATCTCTTCTAAATTTTTCCCTTAGAATCCGCTTTTCTAGAATCTCAGATTGTTTTTCATTACATAAGTGTGCCGTAAGCAGTAGTTAACCAACATTTTCATTCGATCCGCGACAGAATTTCGAACATGCTTCCATTTGTTTCTTTCAAATAAACATTTAATGTTTGCTTACAAAGATGACGATATTCATCGCTCCTCCGGTTCTTGATTTGCCTACGAACTGATAGGGGTTGCTTCAATGTAATTTTTTTCTTTGCTTGTAACTGCATTTGTCTTCATTTTTTGGGTATTATTTCATATTGATTGTACTTGTCATTTTTATACATTTCCTGTAAATGTATACGACACTCTTAGACTATTGGGACAAATTTTGGTGTTCTTTTCGTTTTTCCTTGCCCTTGTCTTCATACCTATGCTCTATATAAATAAAGATGGGTTTCTTTTTACTAATGAGATTAACTTCCTTTTTAATATTTCGGGCTTATCCAATACATTTTTCTTCAATATAGAAGTGCCATATAAATATGTGCACAAACTTAACTTTTCTTATCTTAATAAAACAAATGAAAATTATTTATTTATTTATTTATTCTATCAGGCCTTTTCCCAACGTTATTATGGTTTTGATGCTTTACCCTTCTTTGGCATTACGAGAATTAATACCTGGAATTATGCAGCTTTCGTTAAATAAATGATTTTTCTCTAAATGGCCTCTTAGTTTGTTATTAAATAACTATCTTACCTTATGTAACAAGCTTTTTGCTAGTGTGATTGATTGAACGAGTCCCGATAGAGTGTCCATGAAATAAGGAGACTGCTTTAAAATTTCGTTAAGGTCAATTTTAGTGTCAAGAAGCGCAGCAAATGTGGGGGGCTGGCGATTAAGATAATTACTCTGATAAACCCCTTAGAATATACTCAGGCCTAAGGTTTATCGAAACACTCAAGGTTAGAACTTAGGGTAGTTTAAAACAGATTTAAAGATGAGTACACAGCTATGAGCAATGAACAGTATCCGGGCAAGAACGAAGAGGAAAGCCAGCGGTTCAAAAACAAAATTTTTATGAGCATCGATTTCATCGGTCAATTTGATCAATTAATTTGACGGTGGTACTTTTGGCTTGCTTTAATTACCAGGTAAGACACTGGCAAAACCCCTGAAATGTACCATTTATAAAGTCCTATGCTAGAATAACAAATGGTATCAATAGCAATACGGGATATGGTCTTCGATGCCTCCTGCTGAGGAAGTATCTACGTTCTGTACAAACAAAAATGTGATGAGTGGTTTTATTTTGTAAAAGTAAATGCTATGATATCTTTGATTTAATTTTTCTTTAGACAAGTATTTTCTAAAATATGAAGGCTAATATGGCGTGGCGGGTCTTGGTCACAGTCTCTTTTAGCTGTATAGTGTCATTTGACCTGGTTTCCGCAACTTGATCGTAGCTACAGCGAGACATTTGGGAACGTACCTAGTACTGCGTCATCTGCTATTGTTTTCCGGATGACTTCCAGCATCGGACCTTTGACTTATCACATTTCTTGATGTAGTCAGCCAGACATTGATCTTCATGTTTAGCTGGGAAGGACTGACAAGCGGGCTAAATGAAAGTCAGAAGCCATGATCCAGAAACCGTGCAAACGGCATCTGGAACCGGTGGTTCAGGTGATCATGCCTGACTAAATCCACTTAAAGCGACACAACATTATACCACATTGGATGAAACTAGAACATAGAATGGTGTTAATATATACATAGCCGATATGAAGTTGGGTTGGGAAAAAGGGATGCAACACTGGAAGGTAGGAAATAAGATAGGGGTGAAGAGTGATGCTTCAACAGGAAATTGGTTAAGAGGATTACCTTCGCTTGCCACTTTGATAAGTTGTAACTCTGTCCTAAGAATGACGCTTCCCACTGACGATGCCGACAAAACATCGGGGAATAGGTACGTTCAACAAAGTCTACATGTCGTTTCGACCAAATTGCAAAAACGAGTTCAATTCAATATTAATCTTCTAATACATAGGAAATATATAAAGACTGTATAAATATTTTTAAAGCATATTGCAATGTACGTTATTGGATAACTAAAAGAAGTGTGGTGTTTGGTGCATTTGTTATGGCTATCACTATGTTCTTGCAACCCAAAGCACACCCAGCGAAGTTTAACTCAAAATTTTTATGGGCTTTTATTAAACGGTATTGTTACTTTCTGGCCATTTTGTAGGAATTCAGCTCTTAAGCCTTTACTCTAATGAAAACGCACAACTGCTCTGGTTGAGGCGCGAGATTTGGAGGAGCGTTGTTGATAGCTTTCGTTGTGCTTATCTACGTTTTGCATATATTTGTATCCTATTCAGGCCTCCTTCGTTTACGATCTGAGTAAATCATAAATTTCACTTAGCTTGAAATTACTCATTGGATTAAGAAAAAACAACTTTACAAATAAATTGTCACTTGATTTATTGCTATCGACCAAAAATCTTTTATATAATTTTGGCATCTTGTTCTTAGATTTCATAGTTCCAGTCTTGTTAGTAATAAAGATTTCTTTCAGTAAAGAATACATATATCCATCTCTACTGGGCTCCCGCACGTATGGGTTTCACTGAAAATATTTAAGTAAATAATATAATTTTTTCATGGTTATAAAAAAATACGTTTAACCAAGATTTGCTTGAATTATTAGTAAATTTAGTAAACTTGTAAGGAGGACTAAGTA